GGGGTTTGAGTGGTGGTATTGTGAGGCTGACGTCTGGGTTGCTTGGAACGCATTCTGTTCCAGCGCATACAACGTCCCCGGTGGCAGGGAGTCGAACTCGTCGGAGCCGTAGTCGTCGTCGTCGTCTTCCATGCCCCCGCCATGAATGGACTACCAGAGGGATTTGACGGTTTCTAAGTTCACGGTTGGCTTTTGATCATCCTCGAGTTCGAGCGGTTCCGAAGGTTGAAGAAGTGTGAGAGAGATAGAGATAGAGATGGAGATAGAGATAGAGATAGAGCACGGCAACCCTGCACTTCCAATTTCAATTTCTAGCCACGAATGTAATATTTGAAGGTCAAATAGTTAATGATTTGATTCAATTAATAAACCCGAATAATAGACCAAGTATAAAAATATAAGCAAAGAAGAAGAAAAAAAGTAAACACGGGGCTGAAGCTGAAGCTGACCGCTTTCGGCACTTCACATGAGCTCATCAACTTCTAATCCGATGATCCTCTCTCGCTCTCTGCACTCTCCACTTCTACTGCCCAGATTTTGTTTCTGGCCCCCTTTTCTACATCATGTCGAAATCTCGTCGTAATGTTAGGTTTCAACACCGGGCAAATGATGAGCGACGCCTCAGCGTATCCTCCGACGTCAGCGATGCACCCCCCGAGCCCACTAACCCCAGCAAAAATGGCAACGGGTCCAAGTCATCTCCTATAACTGAACAGGTCAGTTTTCAGCAGTGAATGGCCTCGGAATCAAAGTCTAACATGATCTTCACTTCTAGAATCCCCCCCAGTCCGAATATGAGAAGAAGAAGCAGACCTTCATTACCCGGACGATATGGACATTTGTGATGATCGCCGGTTTCTTCGTCGCTTTGTTCTCCGGTCACATTTATATTATTGCTTTAATCACTGGCATCCAAATCATCTCGTTCAAGGAAGTCATCGCGATCGCCAGTATCCCTAATAAAGAGAAGAACTTGCGATTCACTAAATCGTTGAATTGGTACTTCCTGGCGACCACTATGTATTTCCTGTACGGAGAGAGCGTGATCTACTATTTCAAGCACATTTTGCTTGTTGATAAGGTTCTGCTTCCGTTGGCGAACCACCACCGCTTCCTCAGCTTCACACTTTACGTCATGGGTAAGTGTTTCAGCCGTTCCCCTTTTACTCCGCTAATCCCCGTTGATAGGCTTCGTCTTCTTTGTCGGATCCCTGCAGAAGGGCCACTACCGATTCCAGTTCACCCAGTTTGCTTGGACCCATATGGCTTTGTATTTGATTGTTGTTCAAGCTCACTTTGTCATGAACAACATTTTCGAGGGCATGATCTGGTTCTTCCTTCCCGCTGCGCTGGTCATCACCAATGATATCTTCGCCTACGTTTGCGGTATTAGCTTTGGAAGGACACAACTGATTCAGCTCTCCCCGAAGAAGACTGTTGAGGGATTCCTCGGCGCATGGGCCTGCACCGTTGCCTTTGGTTATTTCATGACCAACTTGTTGATCCGTTACAAGTACTTCATCTGTCCTGTCAACGACCTGGGCTCGAATGCTCTGACCGGTCTGGAATGTGTTCCGAACCCGGTCTTCACGTCGCAGCCTTACTCTCTTGAAATCTTTGGCCTGGACAAGACCTTCTGGGTGGAACCCATTCAGTTCCACATCTTGGCCTTCGCGACTTTCGCTTCGCTGATCGCTCCGTTCGGTGGATTCTTTGCTTCTGGTCTTAAGCGCACTTTCAAGATCAAGGACTTTGGCGAGTCCATTCCTGGCCACGGTGGTATCACTGACCGCATGGACTGCCAGTTCATCATGGGTTTCTTCTCTTTCATGTACTACCACAGCTTCATTGCCGTTTACAAGGCCAGCGTGGGTGATATCATCGAGACCGCCATCAACGGTCTTACGGTTGACGAGCAGCTCGAGGTCGTCCGTGGCTTGGGCAAGTACCTGTACAATCAGGGCGCCGTCTCAGAATCGGTATGTTTGTTTGACTCAATTACTACGATTAAACCACTAACCTCTCCTAGATCCTGGAGTGTCTTGTCACCGAGCTCAAGCGTCGATGAACTTAAAATCGTCCGGCACTCAGATTGAAAACATCACCCAAATTTATGACACTCATCTTTCACTTTCACTTCCATCATTCGAGGACGACCTTTCAACCCCCGCGCTTCCCCTTGCAACTCTCCTCCGATTGCTTCTGCTGTGCCGACTACCCCCTATTCTTGCTTCTTGCTTTATTCGGGACTTGATTTGGGTTCACCGAATATGCATGCAAGTTTTAATGTGTGCATGCATGATATGTACATACATGCGCCCCGCTCGCCTTACCCGCCTTTCAACACGGCATCAACACCCAACAAAATGACCCGTGGCAAGGGCTCTAATGAACCGGTGTGAAGACCGGAAATCTTCCACGCCGGAGGCACGGGGACGAACTCTTTTTTCATCTTCTTCATTTACAGTTGTTTCCGTGTACTCTTGTTTAGTACCTTTTTTTTTTCCTATTCTCTTCTTGTCTTCTCTTTTTGATTGATGCCCTGCCCTGGACTGAACCTAAATTTGATGACTTGTGTGCTCGGTCTATCTTGACCTGGAGCTTTGCTATACTCCCGATGCGTGGAAAGGACACATCCCTCTATAGAAGTGGTACAAGAAGGGGAATGGTAAGGGACATGCCTGCGTGTTTTTTTTCTGGCAGTTTTGTCTCTAGCTTCACTGTTTTTGGACGTGTGAAGGGAACGGGCTGTAGATTTGTACATAGCTTTCAATTCAAAGTTTGAAGCTGATTTCTGATTTTGTTTCACTTCATATATTGCTACCCGACAATTGGTTCGTGGGTGAAGTAAATGACGTCCATGGTGTTGTTCTACAATGAGAAGCTGATTATCGATAGTTGATTGTTCTGTTCATTGTATCTATCGATATCTCGTCACTGGTCATAGTTGTCTGGGGTATCGGGAAATCGTGGGGAATATGAATCAAGGCAGGAATTTTCCAGAATGTGAGTCTCTTCTGTGCGAAACTCTGGAGCGAGAAACCGAGTGTTTCGCCCATCTTTCCAGAAAAATGCGGACAAAGTCCTCGTCGGAGCATAGCAAGGGTGCCGGCGTATCCCAACAAGAATCAGGACGAACAGCAGATAGCAAGTCACCGTGACCAGAGCATTGTTCAGTTGCAACCAAGATGGGATATAGTATGTGGCGGCCTTCCATTCTAGCTCATTACCAAACCCGCTATCGTGTCATCGGTCCACAGAAATAAAGAAAGGCCGTATCTCGGCTTCGCTTCACTGCATGAGGCACGCAAGGTGCCAGGAACACAATTAGCAAGAACCGTGCCTTAACCGTCGACTTCATATTCTTCCATTTCGACTTTGAAGTACGCCGCGACCTGTCGCCTCTCCTCATCTGCACATGCAGGATCGAGCATGAATCGCACGGCAGCGTCGCGGCCTCGCTCGCCTGTCCTCTGACGGTCCCCGTTCGCGGCAATTGGTGTTAAGGGATGAGCAGATCGCGGAGTACCTTGGTCGTTAGCGCCAGCGCCATTGGATGGTTTGCGTGGCTGGCCGATCCACGGCTGGTAGCGTGGGATGTTGTGTTCGCTGGCTTCTTGGTTGAGCGGGATGCGGACTGTTAGGAACCTGTCTGCTGGGAATTCCGAGCCGACGGCGGTTAGCGAGCGGTGGTGGGTGTAGAGTTCTAAGAGGTCGAAGAGGGTTTCTGGGTGGTTGTTAAGATGTGGCGTTCTCTAGGTGGATATGACTGCAATAACAAGACTTACCCATGATTTCTGCTCGGCTGGTGCTCCACTGCGCATAGTCTAGCCCGGACTCCACTTGTTCGATGCGCTGGTCCAAGAGTCGTCCTGCAAGCTCAAGGCAGCTAAAGGCCATCGTCGATGAGTTTTGTTTGATAGGTGCAAATGTGCGGTAAAGATCAGATGAGATGCGGTAGGCGAGGTTGGAGACTTCGGAGATTTGCAGTAGTCCATAATGCCGACCCAGCTTCATGAGGGTCTTATGGGGATGCCGGGTTCGAAAGTCAAACCCAGAGGCCTCTAACATGAGTCGTTCGAGGCCGATTATGCCACGCGCATGCGCTTCAAACATCTGGCAACAAACGTTAATTTTTTGTCTTGTCTTGCCTGGCATCATATCATGACTTACGGGATCATCAGCTGATAGGTGCTCTGAGGGCGCCAATTTCAAGTTGTACGCTGCGCAGACAATGTCTCGCGACTTTTTTAGCGTATCTTCGATTTTGCATGCTGTGAATAAAGCCGCAGCCGCAGCATCCTATATCCCGGGTTAGACTGATCTCCTTGAGAGGGATTTCTGAGAGAACTCACAGTCCAATTATACTCATTGTCTGGGTGCACCAATCGAAATCGGTGATAATATCCCACTGCTGTGTCAAAAGTGCGAATGGGACTGGATTTCAAGTTAGTCTTGATGCATTTTGCTTGGCTTGAAATCAACTTACAGGTTGAGGGCTCTCCGCACGCTGTCGATCCACGCCACGCCCTGAAGTCGCAACGAAGTCTCGCGAATAGGATTAACATTCATCGCCTCGATGCAGTTTTCAATTGTCTGTTCGAATATATATGGATTCGCCACCTGTATAAAAGACGGGTGGATAGCCGGGGGTGACAGGCCAGATTCCAGCGTTGAGCCCCCGCGGGGAGACTCATCCCTCATATTGCGTGCCATGGCGGTTTCTTGAATCTCCTAGTAATATGGCAATCCCGAGGAATGTCTTTGGAAGTTGCAAGGTGAAGACAGGCACCAAGTGACTGGATTGATATCTCGATCACGTGTCCGTCCAAGAGCTCTCAATCACGTGTAGGTCTATCGGAAATACATTGACCCGCATTCCGAAGTGTATACATCCGTCTCTACCATGATGCTTTATTTCTCGAATATGGATGTGCAATTACAAACATATTGATCATGGTGGAGATATATGTAGAGCAGAATTTTGTCTCACAGGTCCCTCAAGGCACCCCCCGACCAGCCCGTGTCGCCTTAGCTAACTCACTTTGAGCTGTGTTATCCGCATATCTCTTATAGATGGGAAGGTAATGCGCAAGATCACTGGTAGTCTCCTTGATACTGCGTCTGCTTTCAACAGCATCAAGCCAGGTCCTCCACCGGCTCCAGATCCCCTCATCCGAACCCCCTTTCCCCTCCTTCGGAACCCCTAATCCACCACTCTTAAACTCATCAAACACCCACAGTCGTACCGCCCACGGAGCCAGCACCAAATCCGGAAGACTAATATCCCCACCAAGGAAGAAAGGCCCCTCAGTGTGCATCTCTTTAGTCCAGGCTTTCAGGTGATTCAAAAACTCTTGCCGAGCCTGATCCAACCCCGCATCTGCGTTCTGCCCACTGCCATCTGCAGACTGGTACTGCAAGAATCGGTGGAAAGATGGGATTATTCGTGATGTCACATAGTCAATCCAGATGCGTGCCCGCGCACGCTCGTATGCATCCTCTGGCAGGAAGCGAGGTTTATGGTCTGGGTATGCATCTTCCAAATACTCTAGGATCACCGTGGATTCGTACAGTGGCCGTGGGCGTGGATCTACTAGAGTTGAGAGTGTAGGGACTAGTCCTCGAGGATTCAATGTGAGTAGTGAGTCTGGTTTGTTGTATGGGTTGACCTCGACATATTCGTATGGGATATTTTTCTCTTCGAGGGCGAGCCAGACTCGTTGCACTTGGTTTTATTAATATTGTTACTTATCGAAGAGTGACTGGAGACAAACCAAATCTACGAAACTCGTTAACAGTCGTTTGGTTGGAGTATAGAGGGGTCGTGGACATACGGACAGAACCACCCCGCATACAACTTCAATGGCTGTTCAGCGCGATGCTGGTCGACCAGCACCTTGGCCAGCCCACTGGCCTCGGGATAGAGGTTGGAGTCAGGATGAGCGGGCATTGTAGAATGCAATTTGGTCTTTCCAAGGGAAATTGAAAAGCGAAAGGAGGAAGAGATCCGGGTTGGACAGGTCGTGGATATTAATTAGTGTGACATCATGTCATAAGCATATTCGTGATTGAACAGTGTCTTCAGCTAGATATTTTTTGAAAATTGAAGTAAGACAAAAGAAATATAAATCCTTGCAAAAACTATCAAAAACCATCGGACTCTAGTCTTTTCCATACTTCCTGATCAACTTCTGCATAATCGACATAGCACCAGATCGATACCCTCCACCAAAAATAGCATGATGATTCAGATGATGATACCTTTTCGGTTATATCAGTAAAATTGTCCAATAACAAGAGAAGGAAAAGGTAAAAAGAAGAACTCACAATTCATACAATTCCACCCGATCAGCATACTCCGCCACAGGTTCAGTCTTGGGCACAATCCGATGGTACTGATCAAAGAATCGAGCTCCAAACCCACCAAACATATGCATGATCCCAAGATCAAACTCACTATGTCCATAGCAAGCCGATGGGTCATACACCACATCCCCAGGTGTCTCATCGCGACCCGAGCCAACAATCCGACCCCAATCAGCATTCCCACACCACAAATCCCCATGAACAACAACAGGCAAAATCCCCTCCCCCTGCCCACTGGAAGTATACCCTAAATGACCGTCCCCAAGCAGCCAAGGCACAACCTTATGCGCCGTCTTCTCCACTGCCTCACGCAGCCCAGCATCTGGTCCATTGCGCTCTTCAGATGTTGCCAGGATCGTAAGCAACCGCTCGTTCGCATAGAACTCAGCCCAGCTATCACAGAATCGGTTCGGCTGCTTGGTATCACCGCAGAAAGTCGGCACAGGGAATCCGAATCTGCGCCGGCCGGTGTTTGGATCTGGGGGTGCGGGCGTAGTATGCAGTTTTCCGAGACGGTGCACGAGCGTGGCTTCGTCGCTCGTGCTGCGGCCCGTCTTGCCGCCAAGCTCAAGAAACTCCGTTGCAAGGAAGTGCGTTTTGGCTTCTGTCCCTGGTTTGTCGAGTGGTCCCCGAGCTAGGGCTCGCGGACAGAATCCTGGTACGGAGCCTGCGATTGCGTTGAGGGACTCGGATTCGCCCTGGAACATTTCTTCTGCAGCTTTACCATTTGAGGAGGTTTTTACAAAGTAGCGCCGCTCTTCTTTACCATTTTCCCTGGGGATTTGGGCTTGGATGGTGCCTGTGCTTGTGAAGCCTGAGCCTAGGCCGGATGTGGAGAGGCTGGCTTTTGATTTAGATGGTAGCGAGAGGGCTTGAATGATGGGCTCCGGTACTGGAGGCATTGCTATTAGAGTTATGGCGTTAGGGAGAGTAGACTTGTTTGTGAACTGACGATTAACTAGAACGCGGAGATGTGTAGACCGGATTTCAAAGGGCTATGACGTTTTCCCCCACATTGAGAATGGAGCTCTTATCACCAGGCCTATACAGCCTTGGTACATAGATAGAATGCATACAGCTTCCAGGCACATATTCACAGTTTAATAGATCCTATATTCAGTTACGATATGAAATGAGCACGTCACAGTAACAGTAAAAGGAATTATCCACATTTTTCCTACAGTACTCCAATCCATCCAGAAGTCCACGGGTAACTCTAACCATAATAAAGATATCAACTATGCGGGAGACAGTTTGTTCAACAAATGCAGCGCAGTCTTTGTACGCTCCCTCGTGTCTAGCTCTGTGTCATCCTCGAGGCTAGCCAGCCGTTCCGCAAAACCAAGAGAACGAAGTCTCACTGCCCGCTCCCGGCAACCTTCATGATCACTCTGATCTTCTTCGTAGATGAGGTTGATCACTACCCAGACACAGTTCGACCGAATGTCTTTGTGGGAATGATTGAAATAATTGCCTAGAGACCGCAGCAAGTCACGGTGGAATGTGACGATGCGCCGGTGGCGTGGGTGTCCGGCCGCCAAGTGGATGATGAGAGCGGCAGCTGCGTTGATAATCTCATTGGGAACGTGGAGGGACTGACTGCTGGAATCCCGGCGGTGAGGAAGTTGGATTGTACGTGGTCGCAGTGCATCTGCAATGGTATCGAGGAAATCATTTTGACCAAGCTCTCTGAAGAGATATTCGATCATCTCAGGTGCATCCCGACCACAAATCATGTTGCGCAATAAGTCAAATGTCTGCTCCTGGACGGCAATATCATCCTGTCGAGACTGTGTGGTTTGAGCCAGGGTTCCGTGCAGAACGAGTTTGCGTCTACGTCTTGCATCAGGAAGAAACATGTCCAGACTCATTTTGGAGGGAGGCATGGTATCGGCCATCTTGAGGTCCTCGTCCCACTCCGCTGCATCATCCATGGGGTTCAGAATATCGACCTGTTCGCCAGCTGAGTTGGATCGACCCATGGCAAACCCGGGACTTTGATCTGTCTCCTCTTCCATTCCCCGGCGAGTCACTGCGCGGGCCGGATCCTGGGAGATGACCTCCATAATCCATTCGGGGCCCAAGGTCTCGATGATGTTCATTCTGACGTCGTTTGCAGTATCATAAACCATGTGCTTAAGAGCCCAGAGGGATTCGATCTGTAATTTGGTGTTGGATGAATGAGCGTGCTCGCAAAGGATGGGGATGATGTTGTGGGAAATGATTGCCTGAGAAGATTATGTTAGCTGTAAAGTTCATGAAAACGAAATATATGCATCGACAAACCTCTTTCATAGGACTGAAGTCCAAGGCCAAGTTACAGATCGCAGCCGTTGCTGCAATTTGCACCTCGAGGTCAGAATGGCGAAGAAGGGCAAACAGTGGCTTAGCCACGCCGGCATCAATAAGACTAGTTCTTAGCACACTCACGGATCTGGTCAGCATCCGAGCTGTACCACAAGCAGCCAGAATTGTCGGAATCGGATTTCCATCCTCCGCAGTATTTCTGGGCGTCGTAGCATCAGCCAGTGCATCACTGGGCCTTGGCTTGAGAGCGTCAATGATGTAAGGGACCACACCATGTTCACAAATCGCCTTGCGGTACTCATCCTTGAAAGGGACGAGTGCTGCTAAAGCCTTGAGGATGTTCTCTCGGTAACGCATCACATGGCAAAGGGTCGGGGAGTAACCGGAAGGCCCGAGGCGACACTCCTGTGAAAGTGACTCAGGGTCCCTGGCTGGGCCATCCTCTGCGTGCCACATCGGCCGAGATGTCTCCGTGATTGGGTTGTAAGTCTCCTTGAGAAGTTGTGAAAGTCGCTTAAGCGCATTAGCTTCTACTGCGTGTTTCTGCAGTTCCTGATCGTCCATGACCAAGTTGGCTAATACGGCAGGCGCCTCTTCTTTTAAGCGTAGGGTTGACGAGAGCAGCCCATCATGAATGGCGCCTTCTTCATCCGGTAGTCGGACGTTCTTGTCAAGCATACGAATCAAGATGGGAATTAATAAATAACTGAACATTGGGACGCGATGCTTCTTCGCCAATCCTAACCGGAAGAGGGTTGTGACAAGACGGGCGGACATCAACCGTGCCATGCCATTCTCTGAGCGGAGAATGCAGAGCAGCCATGGGATAATCGAATTCTCGTCGTCTTCTGGGACAGGAGTGTCAGCCAGTGAAAAAGGCGTGGGGTAAGAATGGCTGTGTCGGCGCTGGGAGCCTCCGTGCCCCAGAGGTGGGAAATTGGCAGAATTGGATGATGATTTTGTGTGTGCTAGAGGAACCGAAGGTAAAAGCTGCTCTATGGGGTTGGAGCCAAGATGACGGGGTACTGCGGAGCCTGACAGATATGTGGATCCCCACGGACCTTTCTTGATGTCTGACGGGGCAAACCCAGCGACTTGTTTTGGAAACACCGTCACAATGCCAGGTGATGACAGGAAGTGCTCCGCCCTCCATTTTGACTGTTCAATAATGACAGCAACCGCACGTAGAATCGGTGCTAGCTGGGCGGATTCGGGGGCCGGAAGTGGCAGATCCTCCAATGCGCCAGGTTCTTGAAGGCGATCCTCCGCGCCAGGCAAGACAAATCCCTTGGCCACAACAAATGAGGCAATCTTAAGCGCCAAAGCATCCAACACCCCGGATTCTGCTAGGGCCGTCTTGTGGGTTTCCTCCGTGCATAACTTGCCGATCAGGGCGGCTGCTAGCTCAATCGTGGCCTGGCTGTGTAGGTTCTTGTACTCCTGCGAGATTATACGTCTGAGAGAGCTGATATTTGCAGAAGCAAAAACAAGATCCGCAAGCTGCGTGTCCCGAGGCCATTGTTCCTGACTTTGCAGCGGTATCCGGTCTGCAATTGTGTTCAGAAGCCGTAGAATGGGAAGACAGAATGAATCTGGGCAGTCCGGAGACGAAAATATTGAAAGTAAGGTCTGGGGGATATTGCTGGCGAATAGTGGAGTGAGAAACGTTGGGCCACCTGCTCAGTATAGTCAATGTCTGTCTTGGTATATTTGGACATGGATCTGATCTTCACATACCTTGTGCCAAGCTCCCAACAATTAAAATGGCTTGAAGACATGCTTCATAATCTTCTGGGGCTTTTGGCGTGAACCGGCCTTGGTGTGATATCAATTCATTAAACTCGGCCGTTCCCGGCCACCTCGAGGTCAGCACCTGTGACAAAGCTGGTATGATTCCCTCGACAATGTAGGTTTCCTTGCGCTGGTCATGGCCAATCAGTTCATTCTTCAGAGTGCGCAAAGCTGTAATCTGAGAGGAGGCCGATTCGGCGCTCTGTAGCTGCAGCAGAATCGGCGGTACGGCCGCTCGCGTCATCATCTGGCGATCACCCCCTCCCAGCGGGAGGTTCTTGGTGTTTCGCTTTGTTAAATTAAGAAATTGGTAGGGAGACTATAATGATACTGAGGAAATTATCTCCGTCAATGTGAAGATTGTGTAGACCTGGATATACAACATAGATATGATGCCTGACCGGAACTGTAGAGCCGGGCCCAGAGGTACTCCGCACTTCAGTTCTGCTGAAATATACCGCCTCTAAAAAGTGGCCCCGGATTAAT